TTTTTGATCGTTTATGACAAGAGTTTTATGGACTGGCCGAACTCATCTCTAATTACGAGTTATCGTGACGAAAAAGATTTCAAGAAAAATACACAAAACGGACAACAGCGCCGACCGCTCGGACGTAATTGGCTTAATTGACGATAGACGATACAAATAAAAAGAGCGAAAAAACGCAGCGCGAGAGCGAAGCAAAAGATTGACTCGTCATTTTCCGAAAAGAAAAGAGAGAGAGAGAGAGCAGAGAGAGAGAGAGAGAAGGACGATAAAGAAGAGAAAAGGGCAAAGCAAGTGGAATTCAATATACAATCGCGAGGCTGGATCGCAATGCACGCGCGCAGCATGCGTATCGCCAGCCGGAGATCTATCGGTGCCACTTCATTGACTACAAGAAAGCAAGAGAAAAGGAATGGTCTTGCGCGAGGAGGGCCCCAGTTTCCGACGTCGATCGTCGATCATCGGACGCGAGCGCGACAATCGGAACCCGAGTATCGGCCGGCGGATAATAATTATTACTTCTATTTCGTGACACACCGGGAGCAGCAGCTCCAGTCCCAGGATACGCGATGTGGCTTCTGGTATGCCGGCCGCATGATATTTCAAAACTTCTTCCGCGCGCTAGTACATTGCTTGATGGCTGCGTGGAATCGACGCTGCTGCCGTTAGATTCATTGCCAACTCGATGCCACGAGCTTCTTCGGTCTTCGGATGCGTATAATTATCCGCTTGCTGCTGCGCGCGTGCACCGCACGGTATTTGCGATTTGACGCTTCTTTTTTTTTACCATCTCAAAAATCTCTTTTTCATCTAATATATACTTGTTAAAATTACTCTTCTCTTTTGTTACAGAATGATTTTTCGTCGCCATATTTCACTACGCTCACTCTGCACATTTTCAGTAAGTGTCCTTTAAAAGTTGGTTTACGCATTATTATCAATCTCAACATTGTCCATAAAACGGGACACAGAAGGTAGATTTGGACTATAGTCGAATATATGTTCAGAGACGTCGAGATGAGAATAAAGATATACTACGTACGAAATTCACTTGCAACTTTTCTTTTGTAGATTCGAAAACGTCGCGCGAGCTTTCGCTCAATTAAAGCGTGAACAAAGGGGGAGGGGGGACACGCGGACTGGTTTTTCAGCGAGATAAGGCGACAGTGACGACGACGAGAGCATGCGAAAATGTCGTAGCGCGCGGCACACACATACACCTCCAGAAGCGCGAGCGCGCTCTGATTGCTGTCGCGCACGCGGCGAACTGTACGTACGTGTCGATTTCCAGCCAAGATAGATCGCCGCCTGGATGTGTCCTCGTATCAACATTCTCCAATTTAAGCTTCCTTTTTCCCCTCTCTCTCGATCGCTGAATTATAATGCCGATCGATGCGAGTACGCGCCCGCGCTCCTATGTGATCTTTCATTAAGCGCATCACTTTTGATGTTTGACTTGATCGACGATCGAAAGCTCTGGCGCAATCCCTTAATGAGGTGAAACGATACCGAGTCAATTATAAATCATTGTCAGTTTGGCTACGAAAAATAATCAAGCTCCCTCGTCTTGCAGCCTCGTGTGTCATAAATAAATCATCATTCACGGAATAAGCCTCTCCGTCCGTAGGCGAGTGCAATCGCGCAGATTCGCGCGCTCGCTCGATTATACAGTCCTAACGAATCCGCGTGTTAGAATTTACACGTGGCTTAGTCCTTGACAGTTTCCTTCGAGTCTCGTGCGCGCATTCCACGACACCTTGAAATTTCCGCGTTCTATGTGTCCGCGGATCATTTGGATTTGACAGAGGCAGTAAGAGAGCAATCTCCTTTTGGAAATCAGCAGAGCCTCGGAAAATATATGCGCCTATATTCGAGTATGGATAGAGATCCCGTGGAAAGCCGCGAAGACCAAGCACCAGCTGTGGCCACTATTCATTGTTGCGTTGCTCAAGCTTGCATACTATTTTATTCGAGTTCACACTAACACGCACAACTCATTCGGTATTTCCAAATTACTGTGTATCGCAGCTTTGTGGACTTACATTTTTTAAATCAAAATCAGTTCTTTTAAAACTAACCACTTTCAGAAATAATCTTCGCAGTTGAAGCATATTCCTCAAAGTAATAATACTTTTTGCACGTTTCGCGAGCAACAGAGTTATACACTTGAAATAAAGCCCGCGTAGATAGCGAATGCTCAAGGCAATATTAATTGACAAATGAAGGGCTTCTCAAGTTTCGTATAGTAGCTCGCAGCGATAATCTCGCCGGGGGCTCGCGAAAAACCGCATCTCTCATTCTCTCTTTCTCTCTCCCTCTGCCGGCGAATTTTTCGCGCACCTGACTCGCATCGCCATTATCTCGAGAATAATAGACGCGCAACCGAGAGAGAGAGAGAGAGAGAGAAAGAGAGTGAGAGAACTGCGGCGATATAAAGATGTTCTATCAGTGATATTGTGTTACGTGCCTCTTTTCAACCGCTCATTCTCCGGCTTTATCTTCGCTCGAGCTTTTTTTATTACTTGCTAGTTATCTTTCTTTTTACTGAATGCTCGCAACAGCATAGCAAAAATATATTAATCAAATACGATTTTACAAAAATAGAGATAGATCATTCATATCTATAAACAGATGTTGGAGATTGCATTGGTTGAAGATTGGCATTGGAGGTCATGAAAATCCCATGTCTATCCGAATATGTCTAATTGTAAATATAAAAAAAAACATGCGTTGTTCTCATATCACAAATCTAAACAGGTCGAGTCTCATAAATAAATGACACAATCAAAGCAAATTAATGATCGCAATCAATAAAACTCCCTCGACAAGTTTCGTAAAGTGCAAAGGCAGAAGGGAAAAAACGTAGCAGTAAATCCCTGGTAAAGGCCTAATTACCCGCATTCCTGGTTTTTCCTCTGGCCAATTACCAGGCCAATCAAGCAATATCTTACCGAAATCCTAGTGCCTTTAGATACGCAATAACTTTCAACTCAACACCTGTCCGAGAACTGGGAATTGCGACACCGTACTCTCTCTCTCTCTCTCTCTCTCTCTCTCTCGCACAATGCGTACAAATTAGATAATCTGGCGAGCGCCAAGGAGTCCTTTCATCAGGTGCTATATACTTTACGTTCTCGTGCGCGATCACGGGGCAGAAACTCGATCCATAGAGCAAAGCTTGTTTAATCCAACGGCGAAGAGAGAGAGAGAGAGGGAGAAAGAGGCGTTGCCGAGCGTGACAATTGCCAAGCTCTCTCGAGCGCCGCGCTAAAATCAGTAATAAAGAGTCGTAAAGATCGCGCGTCGCGCTTTAGGCTTGCAAAATGGCCGAATGCATTATCAGCTGTAAAGATCTTATTCTTCTTTTCGGTGCGCTCTTCTTGCTTTTGCCAAGCGAGAGTGTGCAAATTATGCACTTCCTCTTGCGCGCGTGCCACTCGGGTAATATAAGCTCGATAATTTATTGAATCCAATTAAGCGCTCTCGAGTGCGTGCTTGTGCCCCGATAATAAAACCCGTGCCGACTTTGGACACTTGAACGATAATTACTCGTTTATGCGCAACGCGCGCGCAGCACGATTGTAATACCCGCGCGTGCGCGCGCGAGAGAGAGAGAGAGAGAGAGAGAGAGAGCAACAATCAATTTTCAATTATATGGCGAAGATGGGGATTGTTACGAGCGGTGCGCTTGCGATTAATGCACGACCCTGCAGCACGTGCTCGTTGCATCTCTATTGTATCGATTTCGCCAAATTTCATTTTTTAATGCGAAATCGACTGAAACGTTTTCCGGGCTTACACGTCATGTCAATCATAACGTACAACAATATTAAGTACTCCAATCTAATACTCTACAAACCAATAAGTTCGAGTAGTTGCTTAGTGATAACAATTCAAGTTTCGTAAGAACATAGAACTCAGTAGTAATAGTCGTCCAATTAAAAGTGAGCATGCCTTATGAATATCAAACATTTCAAGCGCACAGCCTTAGGCAGACGCAAAACACGCCGTAAGTAAAGTGCGCTACTAGCTGGGACATCGGCAAAAACGGCAAGCTATCAGCGTCAAGTAAAACGCAAAGAAAAAAAAAACGACAAGAGCAAAATCATTCGCCAAGCGGCGCGCATCCCATGAACAAGCGTGCAAGAAGCCATATCCGCGCCTCTAAAGCGCGTGGGCGCGTTGATAAAAAGGAAGGAGAATCCTTTGGACGCACTTTCGTCACGGACAACACGCGCGCGCGAACCTCCAGCATTATATACACGCGTTAATAATTTATCGGTACGAGCCGTAACTAAAGCGTTCTTGCTTCTCGCACGTCGGTAGACTATGATGGGCGGAGCTCAATTTATTGGGCCTCACATTCATCCGATAATAATTTATTTAATCATTTATTATTTTTATTTATATATGTATTTATTTTTTTGGTAAGCATTGTCCAATCAACGTCGCGCGTATGTATGCTTAGTTCTAATATCTAAATCCAAGATAAGCAGCTGTCAGTCTGCACACTGTTGGTTGCCGCGCTGCGCTTGTGCTTATTCTGACCTTCGAGCGAAAGATTCGATTGAGAATCTAGATAGAGGCGTCATCGATTGAATGCCATTCCGATGCATCGACAGAGTAATGGCTTAGCGAGCTGGCGATCCGAAGATGCTGAACGGTTATGCTGACGATTGTTTTTCCTTTGATGTCTTATTTATCTGCGCAACCACTAACGCTTTTCTTCTCTCTCCTTTTTTTACCATACGACGTTCTATGATCATTAAATAATAATAGGTTCGAGGGAACAGTGTAAAAAGCTGTTATCGCGACGAATTTATTATTTTTTCTGTTGTTGAATGCATAAGTCGACGAAATACTTTAATACAATTGTTTAATAATGAAACGTAGATATAATTGTTAGCAAAATAAATTTTAATATAAAAATACTATATGCTGTAGCTTAAATAATATATGAAGATACAACGTGTTAATAAAAATAATATTTATTAATAACCACATTAGTGACAGAAAACAACGAAATGAGCTGAGTCAATAATAATTGTTTTTGTTTGTTATAATAACTAATTCATATAATTGCATGAAATATCTCATTCACATTTGACAACCTACACTTTATTATATTTAGCTGCGAAGAACATGAATTACAACCATTATTTTTTAAAGGCACACATAGAGTTATATATTATTTTTGAATACCATTGACACTAATATTATAAAATATTAATGCAACATACAATAATCAAAAGGCACAATCAGATCCAATAGATAGTCATAACAATCTATTGTTATTTTCAAGCGTAAATATAAAAAATATATCGGAAGTATAACAATAAATTGAAAAATTATTTATATTAAAAAATAAGTCACGATTTGCAGTTCTGAATATATATCACAATAATAGAGAAATATTAAGGCAATATTTTTGTTACTAACAAAAGCTGCCTAAAATTAATATTTTTGCTTATGTTTGACAGAACCTCTGACCGATAAGTAAATTGTCAAAGATATTAGGATCATAATGCCGACAGCAAATACCATAGCGTAGATAAGTACTCGATAGGCCATCTATAAAATAAATTTTTAATGAATGATACTTGTCATTAATGGATTTCATATATATCACTTACCCGTCTTTCGTTCCTATTATACTGGATCTCTTCTAAAACGATTTTGGCAACTTCACGTAAATGTGGTTCGCAATTACTCTGCTGATATGCCTCTGCTTGCTGCGGTGTTAATTCAGCTTTTGTTCTCCACAGAGTCATTATCAATCTACGTCGTTTTAATTCTCTATAAAAATCCATTTCTTGTTTGGCAGCTTCGACCGTCTCACGAATGATTGCATCGATATTCCCCTGCTTCTCCATGATGCTATAACGAAATTTTAATCTAACTTACAACTGCATGTGATTCTCTTCAAATGAGTAAACTAAAACGCGAGCAACATTACCTGTTGAGGTGCTAATTATAACTCGTTAGTTATCACTTGAATTATACTCGTATTAACAAAGCTTTAATATCCTTCAGTGGTAAACTCAACCCTCACTCACTATTCTAACAACTTCTATTGGTATTTTCTGCGCATTAAGAGGTTAGTATTAATTGCAACAAGAGATGCATTACGAGTGTCGTCCAACCACTGCACAGTGTAAACTGTACATTGATCAACTGCACGCGAGCAGCTTTAGACACACGCGCAAAATGGATCGCGCCATTTTTTTAAAACTGCTTAAAAATTTGCATAAGTATAATTCCAGTTGCATGAATTCATTTATAATTACATATATTATATTCTTTTATAAATGTAGCAATACATATTGTAATTCATATTAACGTACAAAAGTCATATGACATTTCTTTTTTAATCTATTTATTGCAGTTATATATAGATATAGAAATTTATTATACGTTTCTAACTTGGAAAAGACTTATGAAAACTAGTTCATTAACTAATCATAAAAATAAAGAATAAAAAGCGAAAATAATCACTTATAATTATTAATTCTTGCCATTTTTTAATAGTTTTGAAAAATCTTTGGGACTGCTGTTGCTATTGTTTTCATTTATGTTGGAATATATTATAACGTTTTAATAATCAGTGAGGCACATTATTCAATGTTATTGTAAAATAAATAATAAAATACACCAACTGCATGTACGTGGTTTTACAAAAAATCGGATAAAGTTAATATTATTAATATTGTGGTCAGTAATTACGTTTAAAACGTTCATTTTCTTCTCAAACAATCGCGATAATCATTGGCAACGAAAACAATAAGTAATACAAAGATAAAAAAAATAATTTAAAGCCTGCAAAATAAATAATTCAATATTGTGAATAAGGACTCATTCTTGCAATCAAACAAATTTCGGAAATTTTTCTCACTTTTCTTCGATCCCTATTAAATTGAATGTCTTCTAAAATGCTCTTAGCCATCTCTTTCAGAAGTGGGTGACAAGTGCTATGCTGGAACGCAATTTCCTACTGTGGATTTAATTCTCCTTTCAAATTTGGTGGACTTAAGGAATTACATGTCAATGATCCATGTCTTTTATATTCGTTGTAACATTCTATTTCTCGTGAAACTTCTATAGCCGTTTCATATATAAGTATATCATCTTCTGCCTGCTTCTCTATAATCGTAAAATCAAGTTTCTATCTTTTTCCTATTCCAGATCTTTTTCGATAATTTGCAGAGGGATGTCAGATAATTTACGGTTGTATAGGATCGGCACTCGAATATCAAAGAACTAACGCGCAAGGACAATACAATAAACTCGTTGATTATTTTATTATTAAGATGTATATTAGAAAAAAAAGACAGTAGTAAATCACAACTCAATTATTATTTCATAGGTGACAGAAGCTGTAATTTCTTTTATTATTTTATTCGATTCAATTATCCCAATAATTCGTAGTATGTATTAACACTTGAAAAATCTTATAAAAATTAGGTCCATAACCCATTATAAAAGAGTAAAAATAACAAATTTTAGTGAAGAATCTAATTTTCTGCAACTAACAAACAGTAATAATTAGTAATAATTAGTATATAATCCTCGCGATGTTATAATCCTTTTGGAAGGTTTTTTTTGCTTAAATATAATATTAATATTCATGTACTGTAGAAAATAATTATCAGTATCAAAAATGTATCTTGATCAGCTGCTCTTTGAAAAATAGCTTGGTACTTCCGGAAATTGCGGACGCTTATACTCCTTAATGTTTAAGTCCATATTTACGTTTAGGAGGTTTGTTCATCTCCCAAATAATGAAGCCAGCTGTTATTGAGGCAGCAATAAAAATAATACCAAATAGACCATAAAGAAAATATCTTCCTATCTAAAAAATAATTCAAGATTGTAGATAAAGATGTTTTGAATTACGAAAATTCGCTTACTCTTCGTTGATTTCTGTTATATTGAATTTCTTCTAGAATGGCTTTGGCTGCTTGTTTCAAAAAGAGATCGCAATTGCTGTTTTCAAATGCAATTGCCTGCTGCCGAGTTAATTCAGTTTTTGGCTCCCATATACTTATCGCTTGTCTGCGTCTTTTTATTTCTCTATAAAATTCCATTTCTTGAGAAACTGCCTCAACCATTTCACGAATAACTGATTCATGTTGACTTTCCATAGTAGAATGATTTCTGATAGAGACGCAAGTGCTTATTGCGCTTAATTCTTGTGAATTAATCGAGCGGACTTATTAATAAGAAATACCAATTGCTCACGTAACGTACAAGGACGACGCATGCCGACGAGAGGTAAAAAATCTAGTAGTAATTGCTGTTGCAAAATACTTCATTCAATTATTTCTTTTTCAGACACCCGTACGTGTTAACGTAATTTAGTTTCCTTCTCCACAGCTATTACTTTGGCCCACGCTCACTGTGTTCGTATGTTTGATTGGTCTTCTATACGACTCAGTGGTTAACACATACGATAGTAAGAACTACTAGTGCACCGTTGCAATTGTAGTATACACTCTACTATTGCTTTCGTGAATTACGCGCACGCGCATTTGCAAGTTTATAAGACGCAAGCGCAAATTTTGCAGCGCCTGCTTCAAATGCCTCGACCTCGCCGGAAGTAGTAGATTTATTCTGTTATAAATCTTTTCATAATGTCTTGCAATAATGCGACTAAAATATCGGTTATTTTACAGATTGCTATAGCACATCAGTATTTTTAATCTAATAGACACGGAAAACGTTCGATTTCAATCACAACTACAATTATAGTCACATTATTTTTATCATATTTTATAAGTAAGTTATATATTAATAAGAAAGAAAGTAAAAGTTATATAATATATGTATTATTATTGTTAATATTATGAAAGTAAGAGTCATTCGATTTTTTCTTTTATGCCGTTTATTTGTAATTTTTTAAAAATAACAATACACATTATTATTCATTACATGTTTACCATATTGAAGAAGCTTACAAAATTACTTTAATAACACATATCGAAAATCTAGCAATAAAAAACCTTAGTAAAAAATTTATTACCTGCTACTAATAACCAGTTATAAAGGTCTTAAATCTTGAACGCTTTAGTAATATGTTTTGGTATTTTTGAACTTGATAGAATTTACTTTATAGTTTAGACTTATTTTTTAAATGAATGTTATCGTTTTTTTAAGAAATAAATTTTGAAAGGCATAATTTAACTGAATATGTCATATTAGTTCTTATTTTTAGGCTAAAAATTTGTAGTGTGAGTATCAAAAATATATCTTGATCTGCTGCTCTTCGGGGAATGGTTCGGCGCTTGAAAAAATGCAAACACTTTTATTCTTAGTAATATTTTAAACTATATTTGCATTTAAGAGATTTGTCAAACTTCTAATAGATTATAAAATTTTAATTATTTTATATGATAAATATAAAAATAAATAGACCATAAACTAAGTATATTTCTATCTAAAAAAATAGTCCAATATTGAAATTAAAGATAAATTAAGCGGTTAAACAAATTCCCAAATATTTTCTCGCTCTTTAATTTTTATTATATTGGATTCCTTGTAACATGATTTTAACCATTTGTTTCCAAAGTGGATCGCAAGTACAGTTTCAAAATACATTTTCCTGTTGTCGAGTTAATTCAGTTTTTAACGTTCATATACTCATCATCTGTCTACCTCTTTTTAATTCTCTATCAAATTCCATTTCTCGCAACATGGCCTCGATGGCTTATGAATGAATGAATCACATTGACTTTCCATAGTAGCAATTACTTTAAGCTTGGTATATTTTTCGATAAATTGTATAATAATTGTATAATAATTCATAATACGAAGGCAAGTGCTGGTTATATTCAATTTCCATTAATCAAAAGGATGATTAACAATAAACAATATCTTTTTCTGACGTAACATACAAAGACGATGCAAGGCGTTGTAAGGCAAAAAATCTTGTAATCGTTATTATAAAATATTTAATTGCATTATTTCTCGTTATATACCTGTGCGCTTCATACATTGTATCTATCATTTTTCTGTCTGTTATATTAGTCTACTGTATTCATATTTTTGATCAGTATTTGATGCGATTCGTCAGTTGGTACATATAACACCAAGAGAGATAAATACTGCGCGTATAGTGCCCTATATATCACCTATGCGCTTTACACTGTTGCATTTATGACTTTCGTATGTGCACATTTGCGAGCGTATATATACGGCGCAAGCACAATTTCAAATTTTTCTTAATATCAAAAGCAGTAGTAGTATTTTATCTTCAATATTTTTTTTTAGCTTAACATAAATCACAATTACAATATAATATTATGAAACGATAAATATAGAAATATTTCCTCTTTGACCTGTACTTATCAAATAGACAAATAACATTCACTCACATAGACATCCATCGTTATTGAAAACGCATATAATATAAAAACTTACAATCAAAATGTCAATATTTCATAAACTATAGAGGCATATACAGGCTATATATTTTAATCCACGCTTGAGTTTTTGACTGTCGCTCAAACCAAAAAATAACTAGAAACATAGAAGCAAGCCTCGGATTGACATCTTTTATTTATAGAACGTTGGTCCAACTAATTCGCGATAAACCAGTGAATACCACTTGTTAGTAAATATTCTTCGTTAATTTTTATACGCGGAATCCTATTTTTACTTTTTACCCTATTTAAGTTTGCCCGTTCTTTCCATGAGATTGGTCTTTATTAAGTTTTTATTTCTACTTTCATTAATGTTTTCTGTGGATTAGAAGCTGTATGTTGTTCATTATAAAAATACTGGGTATACGCTTAACAAATAGATAAATTATATGCACGCATATTCATAGTTGCTTAAAAGGCAAATGCAATATTTCCGTCCCTCATTCAAACATTAAAAGCAGTAACCATATTGTTTATTTAATTTTCTTGATCGTAGCATTGATAAAAATTACAATTATTAAATACAAATACCATCATCGTAGAAATATTGGTATTTGAGTGGGATTTTAGTTATTTATATTGTCTCGATTGTACATTATATCATAATAAAATTTATAGAAGTAAAGTTTTGTTGATAATAGTGATATATAAAAAATAAAAAATTGTTAGGCAATAATTAATAGTTTAGCTCTTATAAACTTTTTTAAATTCACGATCACAAATTTTATTTAAATGCAATAAAATAACAAATTCTTATAGTCTATTGTTAATTTTTTTATAGTTTATTCGATATTGTTCGTTTGGCAATCGAAATAATAAACAACCTACAGACCAGCTTTTTTCTCTTACGTATGAATTACAACTGTCATCTTTTTCAATAATTGTAAGAGCAAATATTAATTGATTATAATAATAGAAAAATAATTAATATATCGCTACCATATTCTTTTAGTATATTATTACATGCAATACTAACACATACATATATCACGATGATGTCAACGTATCAAGAAAAATTAAGTTACTTAGTACCAATCATTTTTTTCCATTCCATAAAATTTACCATTGTTGAATATTATTGTAAAAGACTGATATTATTAAAAACATATTCGAACAAACAAACAACGTTTAATTACTCCAGTTTGAATATAACGTAAAATCAGAACTTTAATTTTTGACCGTGTTATATATAAACCATTTAAAAAAATGAATATTTGTATAAAAATATAGATCTTATCTTCATAAATATGACTCAACGTCTAAACATATTATTATTGTCCATTTCACGTTCCGCAAGGGACTTTAGTGGAAAATCCAAATCATTATACCGGCTACTGCAATGAAACCACCAATCGCAATGAACAATGCAAAATAAATGACGCCTTGCGCCCACTGAAAAGTATTTCAATAATAAAAATAAAATGACGTCTTTAAGCTGATAAATGAATTTAAGAATTTGACAATACTTTTCTTTGGCCTCTGTTATAATCGATTTCCTCTAAAATGGCCTTGGCCATTTCTTGCAAAAGTGGATCGTAGACAATTGGGTCCATTGTGATAACTGGCTGATAGTTTTTTTCTCGAGGTGGTCGTGACCTATATACGGTCAGCGTGAGTGGATGGTTTTTGAAATCTCGAAAAAAATCCATTTCATCTAAAACGGCTAGTGCCATTTCCTGCATAAGTGGACCACACTGGCTTTCCGCAGACGCTACGTATCGCAATCCATACTCAAGTTTTTGATTGTCACATAAACCAAAGAATAACTCGTAATAAAGAGGCAAGCGTCGAGTTGACATCTTTCATCTAGAACGGCAACCCAACTAATGAACTCAGCCACGAGCAACGAGTAATTATAAATTGCGTACTCCGCCACATGCATCAAAGCAAAGCCGTAACACTTCAACGAACAGTACTAATAATATGGTACTGCGCTCATACAATAAATACCACTTGTCAAGTAGAATGCTTCATTGATTTTAAAAAGTACCTGTATACTTTAACACTATTCAATTTGGTTATATCTTTTCTACCGGATTGGACTGTACTGTAAAGTGTAATGCTTTCATGGACTTTTATTCGTGTCTTCTGCGACTCAGACGTTGCATACTGCACCTAGTTGATGCATCGCGACTCAGCGCACGCATATAGATCGGATTTCGCGCACGCGCGATCGCGAGCACATAAGGCGCAAGCGCCAAGTTTACAGCGCTTATTTCAAAGGCTTTAATGTTACACCTGTTGGAATTAATGACGTTTTATTTTGCTTCGAACGTCGTTTCATCTCGCTTACATATTCGAATTGAAGTCAATTCGTTCTGGCTCTGCTTAGAGGTGAGTTTATGCGTTGTCTTTAAATCGTATTTGTAAATAAGCCAAGAAAAGCGGAAGTGACGTTATTATGCCATCACTGACAACAACCTGTGTCGATTTTAATTAATGAAGAAATGGTGAGTCGGGCAGTAATCAACTAGATTTACATGTGCGAATGCCGGAATATTTGGACGACGCCAAAGATTATACCACTGATTACAAAGAGGAAGAAAATTATGAAAAATGATGTGCAAAAATAACCACAGCGGTATTGCATCTGAAAGGTGAATAAGAAAATTTTAGCCGACGATAGAATTAAATTGGCTAAGTTTTGTTTATGATCGTCTTTACCTTTCTAATCTTTCGAATGTACGCTATTTCTTCCATAACGGCCTCACTCATCTCCAGCAAAATTGGATCACAAATTCTTTGGCCTGTGTTTTCCACTTGAACCGCGTGCTGTGGATTTGGTTCGATTACTCCGTTTACTTGAGAACGGCATACAAGTAATATACCTCTCTTTCGTTGCCGAAAGAACTCAATTTCTTCCAAAACAGCCTGAGCCATTTTACGAATTGCTGGGTCACACCTTTCACCCATCGCAATCACAGAATGTAGTCCTACTTCGATTCTCTTATTCTCCGAAATTGCGTCGAACAAGTCTTCGTAAGGAGTTATTCGTCTACGATGATCATCGTCATCGAACATGTTT